TTGCAGAGGCGCTTCGTATCTGTGTTATGATTAGCCAATTTTTAGGACTATTCTGTCTTTTTTTTTTTTTTTTTTTTTTTTCCCCTTCAATGTGCTATGATCTGAAAGTGGAAGGTTATTGAGACTGCTGGCCCGCTAAAACCCTAAACCCTAGGATGCTCCCGCTCTGTTCCCTGTTATACGCTGGTTTGGGGATGTGCCTTGGGGGGGGTTGGGGCAATGGTGAGAAGGGGATGGTGGATGTGGCTGGGGGGACGAGGCGTTAGGCGCATCAGTATTCAGCGTTTGAAACTGGGAGTAGTGTATCTGCTGGTAATTGTTAGTGGTCGCTGTTTACGTAGGGTCAGTTTGCTCTCTCTAATTTTAGTTATTGGTTGTTGCTCCCAGGGCTAGTTAGATGTTTGTCTCTAGACTGTCTACTAGTCTATTATTATAGTGGTCTTCAGTTCGGTGTCGGGGTGGTTGTAGGGGATTCTCTGGCCCCTGGTTGTTGTGCTGCGTTGGGGTAAACCAGTATTTCAAGGTTAATCTATTTCTTGTTATCGAGCCTAGTTTTCCTCCTCCCAGTTTTGATGTTATAAATTTTTTAATAATCACAGTCTTATTATCTGGGGTGTTTTGGATTTGGGTCAGTGTTTTTTTCCGGTGGGCGTGGATTTCCGTCTCGATTAGCTGTTTAACGAGGGTGAGGGGATTTTCTGGGGTGGTAGGAAGGTCTTCAAAGGTTAGGATGCATCTTCTTCTCCAAATCGCCCAAAGAGTAGCTTTTCTGTTAGAGAGAAGAAGAAGTAGTCGAACCCCTTAAAAGGCGGTGTTTGTTCTAGGTCTACGAAGAGGGTGCCAGGGCTAATTTGTATTATTTCACTGGAGAGCTTCCTCCACAAATGTTCTACTTCCTTCCATAGTATTTGGGCTTTCTCGCATTCCAGGAAACAGTGGTTGAGTTTTTCTATGGTTTGGGAGTTGCAAAATTTACACCATAATCCTGCTCTGATCTGTCTTCCTTCTTCTTTGCGCTAACCAATGGTTCACTGCGACTGCTCTATAGGTTATGAGCCAGAGCAGGCTGTCTAATTTGGCCGGTCTAGTGCAGAAGATTCATGACCACGAAGGTTGAAAAGGTGTGTTGGCGAGGGAGTTTTCATGTTTTTGCCGTCTTTTAAGTATGATGGCCGCTGTAGGAATAAGAGTTTTCCACCTTTAAAAAAAACGAAAAAAAAAACGAAAAAGATTTTCATCGCTGTCAAACTGTGTGAATTCTTTCAAATTTCAATTTGCTTCTTTTGCTGTTGTATGAACAAATGAAGATACATCTATGACAAACTCTGTCATTGACCACACACTACTTCTGCACCCAAAATCTCAACTAACTTGAATAAAGACAAAATATAGGAGTCGAGTTGAGTGGCAATAGGTCGTTACAGCTGGAGACTAGTCAGCAGGATCAGCAAGCAACGCTGTTTTAGGGCCAAATAGTACCAGATGGAACTTGGCGGTGATGACATCACTCTCACATTCATCACCAAGTTGTCTTTGTTCAATTATGATTGTGAAGATGGCATGCGAACGGCTGGAATACTGGTTCATCAATGTGCTCCCTGTAGTACGGCACATCGACCCGTTTTCTAAACACCTGCAACACATTACCAGAGCAACACACATCCCAAAAGTTAAGAGAGAGGCAATCTCACACACACACACACACACACACACACAAACACACACACACACACACACACACACACACACACACACACACGTTCCCCACGCGCAAGCGGACCTGGGTGGGCTTTTTGGCAAAGACAGATGAAAATTATATCCGCCAAACTCATGGATATACTTGCAGCCATTCCCCTCTTTCAAGCCTTCCTAGTTTTTGCATCAGCTCATACCACCAGGGATTGCTGCAGAAATTTACATAAGCAAAATTCCCGGCATGCTGCTCACTCCTCCAGCTCTTGTCAGTGGAAACAAGTTCAGATCATTCTCCTCCAGCCTGCCTTAATGAATGAGCCCAAAATTTTGAAAACTGGTATTGGGACCATCAGCCCTTCGGACCTTGTAGTAGTAAAATTCTCTACTCCCTTAGCTGCTTGCCAGCTCATGTTTAAGTGATTTAATGTTTGTGTGGGTGTGTTTCTAAAGGGGGTTAGCCGCTCTCATCTGGACTCATGACTTGTCTATAAACATCTCCAGGTCAGCCACAAGGATGGGGTGACTCGCGTGTTTTAGAGTTGAGGGTTGGTGTAACGCGCGCGAGGCTGAGGGAGAGCCGAGGGAGAGGAGAGAGGGAGGGAGAGAGGGAGAGCGTGAGAGCACACACACACTCACTCACTCGACACGACTGAGGGTCGAACGCAGACACAGTGGCCAGGGCACAAAGTCGAAGTCTTGGATTCCCGAATGCCGAAACAGCAAGTCACACGGAGTACGAGTACAGCGGCCGGAAACTGGCATACTGTAACGGTGCAGACCAGACCAAGAACCGACCTCTCTCACAAAGTACAAGATAGCGTAGCGGAAGACTTAGATACAAATGATCCGAACAATCAATATTGCAATGCAGCCCCGAACATACATCATCATCATCACTCCTGGCGCTCACACAGGAAGAATGCGCCAGTCCCCAACCATACACAGACGAAGAAGAGGGGGGTTAGACGAAGAGGAGGGGAAGATGTGAATGTCGTCAACACCAAGTCTTCGGCACAAGCCCAAATAGTCCCTTGTCAAAATGTCTGAATCCCAATGTCGAGTCTGGATCCAATGTCGTCAAGTCTTAAGTCACAACTCTCTCTCTCTGTCGTAGTCCGCTGATACTGAGAAGTCAGGGAGTGAGAGGGTGAAGAAAAGATGGTGGACTTAGAAGAGGAAGAAGAAGAACTCTCTCTCTCTCTCTCTCTCTCTCTCT